ATTTCTCTTATTTCTTTTGTTTTTTATATGAACAATCGCTTTTTAGCTTTTTTTTATCGTTATCGTTGAAGTATAAACAGGCCTTTACAGTCTGCACATACAAATTTGTAAACGACACGCGAACAGAGACCAACTGGGATGGGATCTTTAAGCTGAGAACAAATTTTTAATTTTGAATGAGGAAAAGACAATTTTTAAATCCAGGTCATAACAAAATTCATTTGATAAGGCACGGATTTTCTTGCTAACGTCTTTGGAAAATGTGCCAACATAAGGTAATTTAAAATAAAAAGTGATTGGTGTATTTTCTTCAGTGTTATCCAGTGTACTTTTACATTTACATTGAACTGAATTGACATAACGAAAAATAATTTGATCAATAAGGAATGAAGGAAAACAATTTCTCTTAAGGATGGTAGTTAATGCCTTGATATCAGAATGAAAGCCCTTCCAACTATTGTTTATTTTATAAGCCCTATCAACTAACGTACGAATAAGACCGATTTTTTAACTGAACGAACGAAAACTGAAAAAAATTGTAAGTAACACAGAATATGATTTTTTCCTAAAAATCGAGGTTTGAGGTGGCCCATCCTTAATGTTAGACACCAAGACGTCCAAGAAAGGAAGCATTTTCCCTACTTCTTTTTCCATGGTGAATTTAATGTTGGGATGGCGTGAGTTAAGGTAGTCTTCTTTATTGAAAACACAAAAAATATCATCCACATAACGTTGGTACAATAACACATTGGGACCCTTATACTGTTCATGCCAAATGTTCTCATGGTGTCCCATGAATAAACTGGCTAGAACAGGGGCTAGTGGGGAGCCCATAGCAGCGCCGTCAATCTGGTCATAAAAAACTTGGTTAAATTTTTTTTTTAATGGGTTTGAGAAGTGGCGAAAACAAATAATTTCTTAAGATTGGATTTGCTTATTTTCAAGTCAGTGCCATCATTTTTCAAAATATAATTCACAGCCAAATCAATAGATTCATCTAATGGAATATTGGTGAATAAACTTTTAACAGCAAATGAAACCATAAATTTATTACTGAAATTTGATTTTTTTTAAGGTCGTTAACGAAGCTAAAGGAATCACAATCACAAAAACCCAAAGGCAAATGGGGTTGCACCAAATTACACAAGAATTTTGCTAAATTATAATTATATGTGCCGATGGATGAAACAATGGGTCTGAAAACAGGCGTTTCTTTGGGCGCCCTAGCTTTGCGAATCTTAGGTAACCCATAAATCCTGGCAGGTTGCGAACCTGTAGAATAAATATTATTGTAAGTGTTCTGTTCTAGTGTCCCATTTTTCTTCAGGGTCCGTAGACTATATTATAGTTCTTTTTAAGTTCTTTCAATAAACGAATCTTCTTTAGGTCATTAGATGGTAGGCTGGTAGGCGTTTAGGTATGTGTTTGCCAAGCGTGTCAAATGAGACCGAAGAATACCAACTTTTCCAGGATCGATGAGCTTTCTGGCCATCGTGATGTGAATGTTCTCAAAACATGTAAAAATATCGGTTTTGTTAATCTTGGGTGGGCATATTGAAAATGTTAGACCGTTCTTGAGTACGTCTAGTTGTTCTTGGGTGAGCTTATACGATGATATTATTTGATACAGTTTCTTGATGATGGAATGGTGGTGGTGAGTTTCCGGTGAGATGTTTTAATTTCTTGTCATGTTTAAGTAACGTTTGGGAGACATACCTGTCCACTTTGTCATTTTATATTATTATTGTTATTACTATTATTATTATTATTATTATTATCATCATCATCATTATTATATTCAATTAGTACTGTTCATCATTGCCATCTTTGCGATATTACCAGTTTTCATCTAAGATAGAATACTTCGAAATCCGCATCATTCAATTGTCGTCAGTAAAACTTATTTCTTGTTTTATTGATCTTATTATATCTAACGCCCATGGACTTACATCAGACGTCAAGTGATAGATTTTATTTTTTTTTTTATTTCACAAGCTTTCGCCCCAATCAATGGGGTTTCATTTACCTGATGAAGCCCCATTGACTGGGGCAAAAGTTTGTGAAATAAATTTTATCGTCTTCAAAAAAGTGCTACCTACTCATTTGTTTCAGATTTAGATTTGTATTTTTTAACATAAAAGGCGGGTAAGTGGTCATAAATCATGGTATTATTTTATGTTTAGGCTTATGTCATTATTTCATACGGAAAAAAAATCACCCACGGCGAACAGCTAGAGCGACAGCAGCCAACAAGGATAGATGGAGGCATTCCGTTGAGGCCTTATGCAACACATGACGCGAAGCAGTTAGGTACGGTATGGTAAGAAATGAAACATTAACCTGGAGAAAATTCTAAGGAAATTTGCAGAACACTTTAATTATATGTTTCATTACGATGAAAATATTGTTTGATCGTGCTTTTTAACGTCTGGGTCTGAATAATTACCATACTAAACGAGCAACCTGCAGCTGTTTGTTTCTCAGTTTATTACAGTAGTAGGCCCCTATGACGATGAAAAAATGTTGTTTTTTTTTATAGTACTTTTTAATATTTAAGCATACTAATTGGAAGGTTCTCAATATTTACAATTCAATGAGCATGTTGCTTCAGTCTGAAACGATCAATATTGAAAGAAGTACAGTGAGTTGATTGTGTTAATTTTCTCATGACTATAATTACTGTATGCAGATATTTCATATTGTTACATCGTTTTAGTAGGCAGCATTTTATATTTACTTTAATAAAGAGTGTAAAGTAAAGTCAACTAATATTCAGTAATAATTGGAAGGTTCTCAATATTTACAATTCAATGAGCATGTTGCTTCAGTCTGAAACGATCAATACTGAAAGAAGTACAGTGAGTTGATTGTGTTCATTTTCTCATGGCTATAATTACTGTATGCAGATATTTCATATTGTTACACCGTTTTAGTAGACAGCATTTTATATTTACTTAAATAAAAAGTGTAAAGTAAAGTCAACTATTCTTAAAGATTCCATTCCTCTTATTGGTCACCATTATTAAGTATTTTTAATAGCAGAATATTCATGAAAAAAATTAATGAATTGAAATTGGGTGGCCAAGTTTAATGACCTAAAATATCGGATCACCATAATAGTAGGGAGAAGGTAAAGAATTTTTAATATTGTATGTATTAGTTTAATCAAAGTAATAATAATTCAATAATTTTCTGTCTTGTAATGATATAAATATATATATTTTATTATGTTTAATGAATTTATCTCATTTTTATACCTTTTTATGTGTTTGTGTCTTTTAACGTGCAACCTTCCACATCTCTTTTTTGTTCGACCTGGCGTTAATTTATTCAAGGGCGGATGTAACCTGTTTATCTCTTCTCTTTCGCTGCTTTTTCTGTATTGTTATTCTGTTACCTTTGCTCGTTGTGTGTACAGTGAGTGATGAAGCTTAAATAAATAAATTTTAAAAAGAAGCACTTTTAAAATGATTTTTTCGTATACAATCTGTGGACGTTTGCGTTCCCCAAGTCATAGGCCTGACGGCCGTGCTTGACCCTTCAAATCAAAAGGCCCACACTTATATGTTGCACTGGGGTATGGGGGTGGGGGCATCATCACCTATCTACGCCACTGACTCGTGGTATTACATATGTTAAGGCTTAAATATACTGGACGAGATAGTGTCATTGGCGGTACCAGTTTGGGGGGAATTCCCGCGTCCTACAAGCACGGACTCTCACCCCCACATCCTCCGACGTAGGACTAAGGTATTAATTCGCCGACCCCAACAAAGCTTATTATCACTGCCACTCTCTTATAGTCTCAAAGCACAATTGTTATTCATTCTAAACTCATAAACTCTCCCATGTACCCCACACGGTATTTTATTCCGGGACCCTGACATGACTGGGGTTCTTTTTATAATACTTTATTAGATTTTAACAAGATAGAAGCAATACCGGTAATTAAGTTATTATTTAATATATTCTAGCTACCAATGCAACGATGCCAATGGTCATAGTATTCTATTTTGTCGATAACATTTTTGAGATAATTCGATTTGTAATTCAATGTTCCATTTTGGTTCCTTATGTTTAGAAATTCCAATAATGTTTTCTTTTGGATGAATCGCGTCGTCATGCAATGACGTAATGTGTATAATTCACCACGTGACAAATTACAAGCGTACCCAGTGGAAATATGATAATATTTCCACTTGGTACGCTTGTAATTTGATATATTGAGCGGAGTTGAATACTAGGTTGATGGTTAAAAGATGCTTGCTTTTCAATTCCTCGGTCCTGGGTTCAATTCCTGTCACGGTACAGGATTTTTGCTTCTCACGACCAAAACAACTCCACTCTGAGATAAGACTTAGTTTATGTAGAGTGTCTTGTGTGTATGTTTGTCGTGTGAAGGGAGAGGCCAATTATGAAAGTTAATAAGTTCGATGTTTGACATATTCTGGGCCTTAGGCCTAAAAAGAAATAAAAATGAAAGAAAAAAATCAATTTGGTAGATGATTGTTCTAAGTCAGGGTGCAGAACCGACTAATCTAGTAATGTAACTAAAAAGATGTAGCTTGACGGGATTTAATTAATAAAACGAACGTGTTCTTTAAATGCAATTGCAAACGGTTATAAAATAAAATATACAAACTGCCTTTGAGACACCTAATATATGTATGAAAAATTACAAGAAAAGGAGAGATCAAACAAAACACTAAAAACTGGATGGGATAAATGACGTTTAATTGTGTAAAAGGGACACAGTTTTGGTTCAATATGTTTAATACAGAATTCAACACAGAATTATAGCAACACATAAACTCTCATGAAATATGAGTTTCTATAGACAATTATACAATACGTAGCCTATAGAGTACCACAGTCGTGTCGTCACGACGCCAGGTGACGCTCTCTGTTGTCAACAGAGAGTAGTATCACGCGGTATCGTGACGTAACACTACTGTATGCCATAATGGATCGTTCTGAATGGTCAATCAAACTGACCAGGAATACGTGCGTGTCCTACAAATACACTGTTGTCCCAAAAACGCACGTTTACGTTTACGTACATTTTTACGCTATTGTTTTGCGGGACCTTAGCAACAATATCCAAGGGGCGGAGATTAGCGGAAAGGTCCATTAATGACGAATCAATTCAGTTTTTTGTGATGGGATTACCTGAAAAGACAATAAACGTTAATGGAGTGTCAAGCAAACTTATAAATTGACCAATCGGGACATGGTTAGGAATACGCGCGCGTCCTACAAACACACGTATTGTCCCACGATAACGAATATCAAGACGTCATTTATCATTATCGTCATTCGTGCCTAAAACATTCGTGACAATATGCTGTACGAGCTGAATATGATCCTTGGTTCATGCAACAGACATGAATCGTGACAGATATGCTATTAGGGAAAGGGTACAGGGGCGGATCCAGTAAGGGGTGAAGGGGCACGTGTCCCACCCCCCATTTTGATACTAAATTTTTAAAATTTCAAATGCATATCAGTGTTATGTGTTACTCACTTATCAGAGTCTATTCTGAAAACTGTTGTGCCCCCACACCCCTGTTTGAAAAATTCTTGATCCGCCCCTGGGTTGTCTAAAAATGTGATGCCGTTTTCGTTATTGTTTTCTTAAGCTGGTGACAACTCTATAGAGCCTATTGTTTTATTTTGACCTTACCAACAATATCCAAGGGGCTTAACGGAGAGGTCGATTACGGAAGCATTTAAATTTATCAATAATCTTTGATATTACAATATAGTTACAAAAGTAATATATAAGTTATACAAAAGTTTGTATTTGTAAATGTGGATACACATGGTAGCTTTAAGGGTGTGTGTAAGCAGTCAAATATAATTACGGTACTTAAAAATGAACAATTGAATAACGAAACATGGACAAAGTTTACAATTCAGCTCCAAATTGAAACCTCTCTAATTCTAAGACCCCTGAAAATTCTAAATTAACTATCAATCTTTATTTTTTTAAACACAAAGCTAACCCTCTAATTGATACTCGGGTGGTCTTGATTTGGTGGTAGCACTGGACCCGAGAATTCAATTTATCAGTGAGTGCTAGTTTAAGGAACAAACCTCATGAGAAGGACGGTATCGCCTTCATTTTTTGTCCGTTACCTCAAGAAGATATTCTTATTACAAATATATATTTCCATTGCAAAAAAAATGAACAAATATGATATATACCATATTTATTCGAATAAACGCCCCGCTTTGAATAAACGCCCCCTCGAATAAACACCCCTTTAGAGCCTCATTTGAAATAAACGCCTCCTTCAAATGAATAAACGCCCTGTCGAGGCGTTTAGATTTCCTCAAATAAACACCCCCTCAATTACTATGAACAAATCTAATGGAAGTAACATCATTCATACATTTATTTTAACGTTCTACTCAATTAGAATTACATTTTTTCTAACCTAGTTGGGACCAATATGTCTTTATGATCACGTAATGACACATTTTGACGGTGATTACAGTGAAATTACAATTTTACAGTGTCTGTCATTACACAAACAATAATTTATTATTTTATTAAATATATACAACAATAATTTTTACGATTGGTGTTTCTGTGCAGTACTTTCTTTGCTCAATTACTGAACTATTTTGTATTAGGCCTACTGAACGAACATGCTATGTTTGATACACTACTAAACAATGAACGAATTAAAATAAATATTGAGAGAAAAGTACAGCAGTTTACAAATATTGAATGATTTAGTGGCATAATTACAACTATCGAAGGTGTATGTACATAGGCCAGGCCACAGTACGGGTCATGGGGTATAATCAAGCCCAAGAGATAGGACAAAGCCTAGATAGGAAAGACTCGAAATCAGTGACCGAGTATCCAAGAGGGCTATAATGGTAGTACTGGGTAATAAAAAACATACAAGCGTTAGTTGGCGTCCTACACTAGCTGCGTAGGGCGTATCGTTTTTTTACGTTCTCAATGAGCGTTGTTGGCTCTCTTGTTCTATTTATACTCTTTGTACTAATACAGTAGGCCTACTTTGCAAGCCTCCAACAATACATACAGGCCTTTTTGGCATGGTAGCACCGTGTCGTGCTCGCGGTGTCCGCAGTAGCAACGCGTCTGCGAGATGGAGCGCGGGGTGTGGTTTACTCCCGCACTTTCGACCAATCAGATGCCTAGAATCTATGCATATGGCAAAGTCATGGCGTCGCAGCCAGATTAAAAGAATATATACGTATAAAACAACGTGATTGACTTTAAAATAATTATTTTCAAGGTGTTTTGGACACTATAGAAAAAACAAACATTTGAAGCTATATTTCTTCGTCTAAAAAATTAAGATCAGCATCAGCTTTCCTGCTTTTTAAAAAAGTTTGTTTAAGTCTTCTACATTCATCTTTACTAACATAACTGTAGTTGTAACTCAAACAAGTATAAGGGATCCAGGGATCGACAGGATATAATTAATACCACAAATTTAAAAGCAATAAATCAAGTTTAATTATGTATTTGACAGACATGTTTCTTCAAAATAGCTTTCAGCTTTGCCGGGAATCAGGCTTTTTTCCAGGAAATTATGGCTCCTTCGGGTTCTATTTTCCATAGTGTCTTTAGATTTTGACTAAAATTGCATAAGTCTTAAGACCAAACTTTATATAATGCACACTTCATGTTAGTGCGTATACAACTAATAACTTCGCAAAAAGTAAAAAGAATAGCCTTTTCGGCCATTTGGATTTTGAAGATTTTAATACTGTGGGATTTTGTCAGATATAAAGCTTACATAATTAACATTTAGATCGAACTAGATTAAACCAGATAGATCTACTAATCTAACTGAAACTAGGTACTGTGAACTATATTGTGCTAAGCGATGTATTCGAAGTTCTGGAGCTCTCAGTCGTGCTGTTCGTACTCTTATCAATTGAGAACGCTGCCTGTTTTCGTTTCTTCTTGCGGTCCAGACCTAACTTTCTTCTGACTGTATTTTGAGTGAAGGCATAGACGTATGGATTGATAATGCTGTTTGAAAATGCAATAAGTACGATCAGTTTATTGTAAACCGTACCTTTGTACACCGATGCACCCATTGTGTAGGAGAGATAAAGAAACTGGTCAGGCCCCCATGTTACTGTGAAGAAAACCGTCAAGGCAAAAAACACCCACACCATTTTTGTTTTAGTTTTTGCCAAAGTCTTAGCAGCTTTGTCTTGTTGATAATCGGCCATATTTTTCGCCATTGTCGACATACTTTGAATAATCTTGTAATACAGAAACATCATACATATAATCGGAATCAGGTATGAAAAAATGAAAACAGTACTTCCAACCATAGGAAGCGCGTATTCCCAGTTGTAAAAGTTTCTACACTTTCCACATTCGTCGACGTCTCTGACAATGATGCAGAAACCCTGTATTACGAATCCAGCGACCCATGGAAAGACTATGAGTAGGAAGGTCTTTCCAGATAAGGTGATGGTTTGGTATTTAAGAGGGGATACTATTGCCCAGTATCGATCCAGTGCGATCATTAGCATTGCCATCACAGACACTACAAAACTCATCCACAGCGGGAAATCAGAGCCGTACACCCGGCAGACGATCTTCATTACGATGCTTTGGTCGTAAGCGATATCCGGCCGCGGGATCATAAAGACTGATGCTACGAAGTCCGAACAAGCTAGATTGCACACTAACTGATAAGTTAACTTTGAACGAAGAGACTTGGAGCGCATAATAACTACGACGACGACTGCGTTTCCTACTGAACCGATTAAACCGAATACTAGAAGAATACTTATGTATGGATTTGTGAAATCAACGGGTTTCACTTCAACTTCTTCGCAGCTATTGCCATTAAAGGATGTGACCATGTCAGTCGATACCGTCTCATCGGTTTGGTTCATGATCATTTTATTTTCAAGCAATCTGAAAAAAACCAAAAAAAAAAATATAACTCAAAAGTAAGAAAATACAAGTGTCCCTACAATTCGGCCTAAGGATCACTTTTGGGACGAGGGTTTCAGTGGTCTTTAACTGCTTTGGTCTCTAATTAGGATCCGACCGACACTAAAGTTGTCTTTAAATATAGGCTATGTATTAAAAAGGAAATTACGAAATGATATTCCGTAGTAAATATAAGATTGTTTTATTTCAAGTGTTTTAGAATGGATGTACAGTTACTGTATATTGTTATTGATTCTTAATAAACCACTTTTTGTGTCCATGCGGTAAAATGTTCCAAAAGAAAGATGGAGGAATTGTTTGGCAATAATTGGCACACAAGTGTGGCCGGAAGCGCACTGCTACTAAAAGATGTAGGCGCAACTTACCGCGCAGAATAATCTCAAAATCGGTAGTCACACATCTTGCGCTCTTTCTAATTAAATCTTCATTATTACTAACAACACCGTCCTATTAAAACTCAGTATAGGCCTGTTCAATATAGAACATTGTATACACAATATAGGCCTATCAGTTTCTGTTGTGCATTTTTTTTATGTGATATATGTATATAGTCATTAACATCATTTATTGCAGTATAACTATACATTTTAATGTATTGTTTATTTGAGCGAACACTTTCAGTTGGGTCTGCCAAAAACCTGATGTGATACATTATGTTTCAGGCCCGTAGGAAGCACTTTGTTATTGGTTGGCGAGAGGGGTCTTAGCACCCCAAGAAGTTCTTAATGGTACAACAATAAAATATTGTGAGATGCACGTATTCTTTGCTCATATCACGGACAGTAACTCAAAGGTTAAGACATTTAAACAGAAAACCATTACGGTGTCTAAGCAACGTTAATTGGGCTAGTAATAGTTAGCAAGTCACCTCCTGATCCTTATTTGTTTACAGATTTTGAACACTAAATAGAAAATGAAACTATAAAAAGTTTGAAGTAAGATTCTGCTCTCAATTAATTTAATAACGACAACAACAACAACAACAGCAACAGCAACAGCAACAGTAACAGTAACAATAAAAATAACAATAAAAATAACAATATCAATAACAATAATAATAATAATAATAATAATAATAATGATGATGATGATGATGATGATGATGATGATGATGATGATGATGATGATGATGATGATGTTTTCTGCTCCTATACCTAGTCGTGTGCTACTTATTTAGCGCAGGAAACTAGTACATTCAATGCCACAACAACCAGGTACCCATTTATACTCCTGGGTAGAGAGATAGGCAAACGTAGATAAAGTGCCTTGCCCTAAGACAGAAGCGACTTGCACAGCGAGAGTTTCGAGCCCCTGACATCAATGTTGGGAATCCACAATCGATGCGTCAACGCTTCTACATTTTAAAGAAATCTATAATATTTCACTTTGCCAACAAAAAGTAAGGCTTGTCATTTTCACATTTGAAAAGTGTCCTAGAAAGTTCACTGTACTAACATTACGTTCCAAAAATTGTCCAGGCCTATATCTAAGCTAATTTTGTAGTTTCAACTAAACTGTTACAGCAAATACTAATCCACAGCCTAGAAATCTAATTGATGCCTCGCAAGGCAATCTTTAATAATACCTTGCATATTACCCGGTAATTATTATTATTATTATATATATATATATATTATATATATATATATAAATCAAGATAGCAGTTAACACTGTTAAATTATATATAAATCATCAAAGAAAGGTAAGTACAGTGTTCGAACAAAGGACATGGTAATACATCGTGTAGCAGCTCTAAATGAATGTTGTCCTATAAATAAATAAACTGTGTAATAAAATGCCTCTGACGAGATTCCAACCTGTGAGAGTTGTAACGCCTCACAATCATTGCAGCAATATATTAATTACGTAAAGAAGATCAAACTGAGAGCAACATTGTTAAATTCATGACATGAGAAATATTTTCTGGGAGTCAATAACAGAGATTAAAACTGAACATAAATAGCATATCGCCGAAGGAATTGTTCTGTGTCATTACATTTTCAACAATATTAAGTTTTTTTTAACTGAACATTACGATTTGTCCATAATATATGAACATGATGATGTCCTTCACTATATTTAACAATGGTACGTAACATTCGTTCAAACAATTGTATTAAAAAGGGAAAAATCAATTGAATTACAATTAGAAGGCGAGCTTTGTTTCATAGGGATCCTTGATGGTGATAATAATAATAATAATAATTATTATTATTATTATTATTATTATTATTATTATTATTATTATTATTATTATAATCATCATCATCATTCCACAACCTTCGACCTGCAGCAGAACATAAATAGCATATCGCCGAAGGAATTGTTCTGTGTCATTACATTTTCAACAATATTAAGTTTTTTTTAACTGAAAATTATGATTTGTCCATAATATATGAACATGATGATGTCCTTCAACTTCACTATATTTAACAATGGTACGTAACATTCGTTCAAACAATTGTATTAAAAAGGGAAAAATCAATTGAATTACAATTAGAAGGCGAGCCTTGTTTCATAGGGATCCTTGATGGTGATAATAATAATAATAATAATAATAATAATAATAATTATTATTATTATTATTATTATTATTATTATTATTATTATAATCATCATCATCATCATCATCATTCCACAAAATTCGACCTGCAGCAGTAAACATTTGACTATAGTTTTCTTAAGTTGAAACAGTTGGCCTTACTATTCTCATAATAATTCAACATAACAAGCATTGATAATGGAAGTTTCTTATGAATAAATTTATACATACAATCTGCTATTTTCATTTTATGAAGATCGTACATATTGAGTATTTAAATCTTAAATCAGACGTTTCTCTGTAATGAGAATAAGTAATTATTCTGGCAGCACGTAGCAATGTAGCTTTTCCAGATTTTACGGTAGTCGGACGCCCAAATTAAATTACAATACTGAAGATAAGGAAGAGCTAAAGTATTATAAAGCGAGATTAAAATATTTAACGGGAAAAATAAATTAAGTTTACATGTACTGATTTTTCTGGAAATATCCTTGTGATGAGTGGTAAATTTCACATTTTCGTATGCAAATGTCATCATATTACAGCCATTTTCGGGGAAATCCCAGTGTTTTACATACAAAGTGGACATAACTTCACAACTAGAATTTGTCTTCTATGATTAGATAAAAATGAGCAATTCAATACTCTAACATTTCATAGTTAATTGCAGATTTTAAATTAGCAATTATGCTGCTAGAGTCAGCAGAAATTAAACATCGGAGAATTATGCCTTTCAAGATATAAGTGAGGAGGAGGAATAATTCTGTACCAAACATCCCCTAATGTTATCTTTTTCGCTATTTAGTCATTTTATTGACTCGGTTTAAGGGAATTGTTGTAGTCTAGTGCCTCCAATTGACCGTATTAGACCATATTAGCAAATGTCTTTATTTATATTATTATTAAAGTAATAGACACCAAAGCTGTTATATCCTCCAAAACGTGCATGAATCATTCTGATTCTGTTCAGTCCTTTAAATCATCATTTTATCCCTCCGTTATTTGCTTGGCAGCCCCTATGGTTGCCCCTCATATTACCAAATTTTTTGTTTCCAAAAAGGTGTAACTCCTATTGATTAGAAGGCCTCTGTACTCATTCCCGTGCACAAGCGGGGTAAAAGTAGGGATCCGTGTGATTTCCGTCCTATTTCCCTTGTCCCTGTAATAGCTAAAGTTATGGAGAGAGAAGTGTATGAACAAACTTTAACTTTTCTCAATGATCATAAAGTTCTCCCACCAGGCCAATTGGGTTTCGTAAAGGGCATGGAGTCGAAAACATTTTGACTAAATTTGTGGACAATGCTAGATTAGCTATTGAAGAAAATAAGATTATGGGATCTGTAATGATTGACTACTCTCGTGCCTTCGACACTATAAATCATGCCCTCCTTATACACAAGTTAAAGTCTGTTGGATTTGGTGGTCAATCCATACTTTGGTTAACGAGCTACCTCTCCAATAGAACTCAGTGTGTTAGAATAGGCAATGTATATTCTGATTGGCGGCCAGTCAAAAGACACGTTCCACAAGGGTCACTCATTGGACCTATTTTATTTTCAATTTACTTATATGACAAACCTACCATTCTCAAATCCTGTTCTCTGCTTCAATTTGCAGTTGACACCACCATTTACATTACAGGTAGATCTCCCGCCGATGTTGTCCAGACCCTTACCAAAAATCTTGGCTACTTCTAACCATCTTAGTCTTAGTCTCGTTGGTGTGGTCCTGGACAGCAAATTGACCTTTGAAAACCATACTGTCCATATTGTATCCAAGGCACGTAGTGCCCTGAGATTATTAGATCATATTGGGCCATATATCCCTAGGGAACTTAAAATCATGTTGTTCAATGGATCGGTTAGACCATATTATCCTGAATAATATCGCAGTTATAGTCTAGTCCAGAACGTATCGCTCGTCATCCTCATTCAGTTCACATGGTGTTTAACAGGGGAATTAGATTCATTAACAATCTTGACCACAGAGCTTCTATTACCGATGCTATTAGAGGCATGAACTGGCTGAATCTTAAATCTTGCTGGTCTCTCTTTCTTCTAATATTTACCCACAGATGCTTTCATGGTCATGCTCCTGCACCAGACCAAGATCTTATAACTAAAAGGAGCGATGTTGTATCCCGAGATGGTGTCAGGAGTATCAACAACCTCTATATATATAAATATGACGTGGAAGTGGGTAAAAATGGTCAGATGCTCTGCGGTAAAGTTGTGGAATTCTCTTGATGTTTCACTAAAACGTGAAACTAACACTGGTGTCTTTAAATTTGGTGTCAAGCCAGAACAGATCTAGCTTTCTTTAAAGAACAATGTTTTTAAATACGGTATTTAAAATTTTTTTTTCCTAAAAAAAAAAAAAGTAGTACAGCTATTTGTGTTTTTCAGTGTTTTTTTTTTTG